CGTCGTACTATGATCGGTTTATCAAACGATCGGAGATGAGCGGAATGTAGCAACTGAATTATTCGGGTTAGGTTAGATAAGGATAATACTCCAACCGACTCTAAGGGGGTGGGGCTTTAGTAACCTTAGAACAAATACGTAATGTTAGTAATGAACAATTTGATATTAAAAAAATAAACAGACAGAGTGATGTTACTAAAAATTATAAAACCAAATTTTGGTGTGTAATGATTTAAATAAATTGATAGAAATTTCACTTCTCCAATTTAATCTAGTTATCACTAAAACAGTTGTTATTCAAACAACTGATTATGGAAATAGCGTCTCGACTATAGATTGCTGACGCCGATGTTAAACTCAGTAACTCAACGTAGGCCCATGTTTGAATGATACGCTAGCGACATCTACCCTTGATTAGTACAAACAATAGAAGAATCGTAGGTGTTTTGGTTTCGTAACGTTAAAATAATATTGCAAATTTAAACCATTTAAAGATTAGAGTATTATTATTATATTTAATTTATGAATATTTTTTGATCAAAGAAATACTAGTTAACAATAAAGGAAGTTTCAGCGATGTGTAATTTGGCGAAGTATTTTTTGCTGCTTACACCATGAAAAATATTTGGTACTTTCAGTGCACGTATGGGATTTCACCATTAACCATAATGTATATAATATTTCATAATAACAATTATAATTATACACTCTTGTAATTATTTAAACTCCCTAAGAGACTAGATCAGAAATGTAGTGTTTAAAAATGTAATAGGCCTAATACTAATGTCTCATGACCATTAAATTGTAATTGTTCTTCGCCAGCTTGTAAAAGGCGTACACGCAATAATAATATTTCGTAATAAATGTCGGCCCGATATGGACAGGTGGTTAGGGCGCTCGACTCGCAATCTGAGGCTCGCGGGTTCGAATCCCCGTCCCACCAAACATGCTCGCCCCTTTCAGCCGTGGGGGCGTTATAATGTGACGGTCAATCCCACTATTCGTGGATAAAAGAGTAACCCAATAGTTGGTGGTGGGTGGTGATGACCAGCTGCCTTCCCTCTAGTCTTACACTGCTAAATTAGGGACAGCTAGCGCAGATAGACCTCGTGTAGCTTTGCGCGAAATCCGTAATAAACAAACAAACGAAAATATTAAATAGAAAGCCATTCATCATTTCCTAATGATTTTTTTTATAAAATTGTCAGGACTACTACATACATAATATCGTGTAAAGTAATTACGTTTCATAATAAAATTAAAAAGTTATGCTTTTTCATGTTTTATTTTGGCACTTTAATTTTATATTACATCAAATCACACGGTGGTGTGTTGTGCGGCCAAAACAACAACCTGCAGGACACATTGTGTGTTATTAATAGGAGTGATAGTTTAGTGACTTTCCACCTTTTGTATCTCGAACTGCGGTTATCCAAACTATCACACATTTTCACTGGATGTGCTCTACTGGACTCTTACTTCACATACCAAATTTCATGGCAATCCGGTAAGAAATACCTGATATATAACACGCACAATTTTGATTGAGTTTCTTCCATGTTTTCTTTCCTTCTTCGCAACAAAAGTACGAAAACTTTATTTGATAGAAAAACATACTTAACTTTTATGATTTCTTTAAAATTTGGTACACTGATAGATCTTTGGAACCTACAATTAGGAGTGTCATGTGGTGTAAAAATAAGCGACATGTGCAAAGTTATTGAACCAAGAATCTCTGGTTAGGTTAACACTAGGCCATACATCATAACTGACGTGAGAGTATCAAACCAGGCAACAGGCCATGAACCAAGAATCTCTGGTTAGGTTAACACTAGGCCATACATCATAACTGACGTGAGAGTATCAAACCAGGCAACAGGCCATGAACCGAGAATCTCTGGTTAGGTTAACACTAGGCCATACATCATAACTGACGTGAGAGTATAAAACCAGCTGTTTATTCAGTTTAAACTCTAACTTTTAATTAGATAAACAAAACCAAAAGATAAAAATTTCATGGATTATTTCCAAATGATTAACAACTTTTGTGTTGGAATGATAAAATATATTTCACATGTTTGTCTATCATACAAACACATCACATGTAATTCAATAGCTTCCAGTTACTAACAAACGAAGTGAAAACCATGTACACATTCCTTTGTACAAAATGTTTCTTTTTGGCTTTGTAAACGTTACGACATTGTTTTACGACATTTTGATCATTGATGCACACTTCTCTTCCTTACAGTAAAAAAAACCCTTATAATCAGTAATTAAGTTCAAACAAGATTATTCAAAATATTACTTTTTGTTTGTCTGTATACTAACTTTCCTTCAGCTTAAAATTATCTGACAATTCTGGACATTCAAAACCATATACCTAGTTTAATTGACTTATATTTCAACAAACTTTGTTTTCCAGTTTTGAGTTTATTTCCAGCTTCATACAGTTCACACACTTTATTTTTTACACCCAAATATATATATATATATATATATATATACTTTTATATTTCCTAAAATAATATTGGATAACAAAATTACACGAACACAATTGATTTTATGAGAAATACATGTATCTAACAACCAAAAACATGATTACACACGTTACTATCATTCCACCAAACAGTATAAACTTATCTTGATAAGTTCTTTTTTCAATTAACCGCATCACAGTGTTAGAAATGCCTAAAGTGTTAGCCACATCAAGAATCTTACGATGAGCTCCTTTCAACGTCTGTCTCTGGTCTCTAATATTTCCCAGGATACCAGATCCAGTTCCTAGTAGTTCATCCATCCCCCTGTGAGCATTCTGTAGTGAGGTGTTTTGTTGTAGTGCCTGGTCAATGTATATTGATGTATCCTGATCATTTGGTGTAAATTTTCTACTTAAAAGCTGTTCGCGCTCCTTCAGCTCTCTCTCTCGAACGTACCGTCGATGCTGTAAATTCCTTAAAGCTGCTTGTAAGTGTTGACAACTGTACTTCAGTTGATCAACTCTCAATTTGGCATTAGGACGCCGAACTGGAGGTTCTTTAAGCACAAGGATATCGAGACGTTCACAGTTGCTCGTGATCTGATCAATTCTAGCTTGGACTTCATTCTCCAGTGTATGAGCTTCTTCCTGTAAACAATGCTCCAGACGAGCAAACGAGTGCTGTACATCTTCCACGAGCCTGTTGGTTTGGTGGTACAGTGTTTCCATAATGTTTATTCAATCAGACTACTTCCTCACACGTTGCTCAACAGTTGCAATGGAAGAAAATAACGACCCCTATGTGAGAATCAGACACTACGAGTAAAAGATAGAACATACATACAAAAACTACGTGCAAAACTTTGCAAACTGTTAACAAATTAGAAGGCCTACTCAGATCTAAGTTTAAACTAATAAACCATTGGTACTCAGATCCAAGTTAAACCATTGACTCACCATTTAAGAATGACAATATATTATAAGATTTAGTTACTGTGTAATATAAGTTATTTGTAAGTTTTACAGATATTAATAGCAATCTGAGTTGACTGAAAAAACTGTCTAGAAATAAGTGCAGATCACAGATCTACTGCCAAAATAATGTCCTAATTGAAAGCTTCGTTTCTGCCACCTATTACACTACAAACTCTTACAACTAATATTTTAAACCATCTCCTGCTGTATTGGTATAAAAAAAACAGGCCTTTCATTCTGTACTAACTATGATTGGGTATAGGATACTATTATAAAATATATCAATATCACAAATTATGATGTTTATATATAATGTAGAAATAGAATCACTGAGTATCTAATATCATCTGACGGAGGAGGGAATGGGACCCCCGAGTAAAGTAAACTTTAGAAATAATTATATGAAGTTTTGAAACCAGAATTTGTGACGTAATAAATTTATTTCTGTATCTGTACAACATTTAAGATACTCGTGTGTGATTATGTCTTAGTGTTGGAGAGAAAACGTGGTACAGAAATAAATTATCCCACAAACAGCTGTTTCAAAATTTCGTACTGTTTGTAAGTTAAGTGGGTATTTCTTAAAAAGCAAGTTTGAAATAATAATGTTATACTAGGTTGAATGCTGGCATAAAAGTTTAACATTTGAAGAACCCAAGTGAGTTCACACACGTCAAGATACCTAATGTACAGCAGAGAGCAATTAAAACAAAAATGAGACATATTAAAGTCCAAAAAAATAGGCAAACTCAATGTAACTAATTCACGAGGTTCAGATGACATGCACACACAATGATGCTGAAGGAACTTGGAAAAACAACAACAAGAAATTGTACGTGCTCCTGGAATTGATCTTCACGAACTCTCCAGAAACGGGACCTGCCTTAAAAGCGAAGATAATTACAAAACTTGACGTAGGAGAGAACTAGAAAATAACAGATCAGTGGGACTTGTAAGTATTACATGGAGTAAATCAGATGAAAGTAAACATCTTACTCAGCAACAAGTAACCTGGTTCTATAAATAGAACATCTGTTACTAAAGGTGATACATCAAAGGACTAATATGCTCAACAAAAGAGGGAACCTTCATAAAATTTATATGGATTCCATGATGTATGGATCCATGAAAAGTGGAATACCTCATGGTAGTCTAGAAGGACCCATTTTGTTCTTACCATTTATATAAATAAAAGTGGAATACCTCATGGTAGTCTAGAAGACCCATTTTGTTCTTGATTTATATAAATGGACTTCCAACATTGCCAGTTTACTCTTTACTTGTTAGCAGACAATTTTCAAATTCTTAAAGGTATCAGTTATCATACAAATGACACTGGTTTGCTTCAAAGTGACCCAGATGACCTATAGAAATAACGAGAGAAATGGTTTCTGATACTTCACCATAACAAATGGAAACGTATGACAGTTAGTCAAACTAAAGGTATCAGAAACGTTTACTTGTAGCTGTAATCAGAAGAAAGGAAGAGTTAGATGAACAAGATAAAGAATATTTGTGTATAGTTTGTCAATTTACTGTTCTGTTGGCATAATGTCCTTGATTTATAAACATAATGAAATGTTTTTATTTTGGGAAACATACTACATGTTCCCTAAAAGAAAAACGATCCATTATACTTCTAAATCATCTGTCAATTTAGAAGGACGAAGGATGTTACTATAAATTTAAAAATTAATTTGAAAAACACGAGTTAAAAATATAACGACAGGGATATGACAAACCTACTGTCATCGACATGAACAATGTTTCCAAATATATTTTAAGGTTATGGGCAGACTCCACCTAGAGTAAACAGCTAACATTTGGTCACCTTATACAAGAAAGGATGTTGAAATAACTGAAAATGTTTTACCTTTTTCCTGTTACAATACTCAGTGTAATGAACTGAATAGAAAAAAAAAGGTAAAAAATCCATTTTCTCCACAAAATGCACATGAACCCCAGAAATAATTAGTTGAATTATTTATTGTAATATTGAAAGCATTTTTGTGTGGCTCATGTTATTAAGAACCCTGTAACCAGCAAAGTCAAACTCAGAAGCAATTTGGTTCATAAATAATTCAGAAAATGTTTAAAAATCTGACAGACTTGAGCACTTCGTAAGAAACCCATCCACATGAGAAACACTTAATTATTAAATTAATAATAATTTGATACTAAGTTGTTAATTTATTTATTCATTGGAAAAAAAACAACCTACACATAATGATCATGAATTTTACTTAATCAAGTCCAGAGCCAATGTTAATTTTTAAGTTATCTCACATTTTTTATACATTAATTCTTCCTTCTTAAAATAACTTTTTTTCTGATAGCAAAGTACTCCTTGCAATGTATTTCACTTACATCACACAATATTATAATTAAATTCAAGTCAAACCATCGTGGAAACAATGGTTCACTAGAATAATATTAAACTACACGAATAGGTAGACATCTTGATTTACTGAAGTGCTTTATATATGATGTATGAAACATATATAATAATAGTAGTAGGGAAAGAAATTAATAATACAGCTGTGAGTGATAGATCAATAATTTAAAATAATCAATAATATAGCTGTCACTAATTCATCAATAATTTAAAATAATCAATAATATAGCTGTGAGTAATACATCAATAATTTAAAATAGCATAGCTGTGAGTAATACATCAATAATTAAAATAACATAGCTGTGAGTAATAATATCGATAAGTTAAGAAATAGTGTAAAAAACATTCTCTATTAGTTTTATAAATACACTGAATATCGTTAAACCCTTGATATGCTGACATCATGAAAAACACATGCTATATATATACACATATGACATCATGAAAAACACATGCTATATATATATATATATATATATATACACACACACACACACATAGACACAGTC